GAGTGAGACTCAACGTCTTGGCGGTGCGATCTCTTTGAATCTCAAGACCAATGCAGACTTTTGCCTCACTAAGGTCTTTCATCTCAAACCGTTTGTTAAGCTCCCCCTTCATCCATTTGATGGCATCGATATCACTACCAGCGAGCAACAAGTCATCGACATAAAGTGCAATTAGCATGATAGTGTTACCAATCCGTTTAATGTAGAGGCACGGATCACTACGTGAAGTCTCAAATCCCAATTCACCGAGTAAGAAATCATCCACTTTGGTATGCCATTGACGAGGTGCTTGTTTAAGACCGTAAAGTGCTTTCAAAAGTTTACACACGTGATCACTTTTGCTTTTGTCAACGCAGCCTTCGGGTTGCTCCATGTAGATGTCTTCATCCAAGTCGCCGTTCAAAAACGCAGTCACGACATCCATCTGATGAAGTTCAAGGTCGTAATGAGCAACTAAGGCAAGAAGTAGACGAATAGTGGTAAACTTTATGACGGGGGCATATGTCTCAGTATAGTCAAGACCCTGCACTTGCTGGAATCCACGGGCAACAAGTCTGGCTTTTGCACTTTCAACTATATTGCCATTTGCATCAGGCAGCTGCTTGACATTGAAAACCCATCGAGATGTCAAGATGTTTGACGCCTCAGATCGAGGAACAAGTTTCCAGGTCTGATTCTTAGTCTGTGATGCAAGTTCTTTGTCAATGCCGGTTTGCCAGAATGCAGCTCTAGGACCGTGGGTTGCTTGTTTGAAAGTCTTGGGACCTTCAATAGCGACATGCGCATGTGAAAGAAGAGCAGCTGCAAAGTTGCTCCTCCACCATGATCCGGGAGGTCTACTGATTCGAGACGATCTTCGTACAGCTGGAGTCGGAGTTGGAGGGGTGACATTCGGAGTTTCGACGGGAGGTGATACATCATCTTCATCATTCTCACCTACAGAGTGAGTGTCCTCGTTTTCAATAACCTCCCCTGAAATTTCATCCTCTTCCGACCCAACCTCATTAGCATTTGGGGTATCGGCTTCATTCTCATTGTCGCCACCGAGCAATACAACGCCAACGTCAGAGCTGATTGAATCTTTTTCATGTGCAGGAATGTCATGCATCCCACATGTCGATTCATCAAACTTGGCATCTCGTGAAACAACAACTTTACTCAACTCTCCGTCCCAAAGTTTGTATGCTTTACTGCATTGCCAATAACCGAGAAACATCGCTTCACGCGCTCGCAAGTCAAGCTTACGGAGCTCTAATTTCGGTAATGTATACCAACACTTTGACCCAAATACTCGCAAATGGCCAACATTTGGAGTTGACTTCATCCAAATGTGATGGGGAGTCGTGTTAACTGGCAAAGCCCGTGAAATAACTCGATTGCGTACATATACTGCAGTGGCAAGAGCCTCTGCCCAGAATCGTTTACTGACCTGTTTATGAGAAAGCATGGAACGGACAAGATCAATCAAGGTTCGATTTAAACGTTCAGCAACACCGTTTTGTTCAGGTGTGTAGGCAGTGGTGAGCTGGTGCTGTGTACCGTTTGAATCCAAATATGACTTGAATTCTGTCGACAAGTACTCTCCCCCTCGATCAGTGCGAAGCACCTTCACTTTGCGACTAGTGTGCGTTTGGGCAAACTGTTCATACCACTTGTATTTTGCAAAGGCCTCAGATTTATTTCGCATCGTGTACACAACAACCCAGTTCGAGTGATCATCTACAAATGTAATGAAGTATCTCGAACCACCAATGGACTGTACTTCGAGCGGACCGCAAACGTCAGAATGTACCAAGTCAAGACAGTTCTGTGCTCGAGACGATGATCGCTGTTTCGGGATTACTGATCGCGTTGCTTTGCCGAACACACACGCAGGACAAACGAGAGAGTGATTGTCAGACTTTCGATTCATTGCTCTGATCACATCGCTTTGACGAACATTGATGCCACTTACCACATTATTGTGAATCATTGATGCGATTCCTTGTACGTTAACATGGGCCATTCGTTCATGTAGCGTCTGCAAGGTAACTACATGAGCAGAGAAAGTTTCATTCATGACATCAAGTATGAATAAATCCCCAACTTGACTAGCTGTGGCAACTACAGTTGGTCCTGCAGTCACGATGCATTTGTCTTTTTCAAATGACACTTGCAAGCCCTTTGAAACGATTTGGCTAACAGACAGAAGCGAGTATCCGAAATCAGGGACATGCAAAACGTTGGACAATTTGCAAGGATGTGGACTACCATTGACGTTCAACATGAATTCTACCTCACCACGACCAGCGACATTGGCTCTAGCCTTCGTGCCCATCTCGACTGATCCAGATTGCATCTGTTCATAAGTAACGAACAAAGAGCGATCAAATGTAATGTGGGCACTGCAACCGGAATCCACAAGCCATGACCCTGCGTTCACTGCCTTCTTTTCGGGAGAAGAAGTCGAAAGCAGGCATGTAAAATCGCTTTCAGCAAAGGCAGCAGTAGAAGTTTCATCTCGAGATACAAATGCACTTGGCTTCATGCCGGGGTTGCGGGACCGGAACCCGTCTGGCGGTGCTGGTCGGCGCCCATTCACGTCCTAGCCCCAGCAACGCGCTGCAGTATGCCCATGTGTATTGCAATTCGTACATTTCATATCGCGTCGAATAGGCATACGATTGACAAGTGCAGGTGCATGTGGTGATGAAGCAGAAGCCGTCTTCATGCTTTCTCGTTGTTCTTCTTGCAGCAGACGACTCTTCACAAACTCGAGTCCAAACACTTTATCTTCATTGCCAAGTGCGTCAAGAGCAACAATCAAGTTATCGAATCGTGGAGGCAAGCCATTCAACACAGCCATTGCAATTTCTTTATCGTCAATCTCAACACTCATTGACTGCAATCTGGCAGCAAGTTGCTTCACACGATTGATGAACAAGAGCACTTTCTCGGATGGGAGCATGGATACAGTGTAAAAGTCGCGACGGGCGGCAAGTTTGTTGAGCAAAGTATGACGCTCAAACACATTCAGAATTGCTTCCCATGTCTCTTTCGCACTGCTACACCCTCGCACATGTTGCAAGTAGTCATCAGAAAGCGTGAGTCCGATGACTGCCTTTGCTTTTGCGTCACCACGGATCCATTTTCTCCGGTCATCTGACGTCGCATTCTCCGGGATATCATCAAAAACGTATTGATCGACATCTCGGAGAGCAAGCAGTAGCTGGATTTTCTGCTTCCAGATGTAAAAGTTAGATGCGGTCAGCTTCTCGATTCTGACCGATCCAGAGCTTTGGTCATCCATTTCGCCGAATGGATGTACCCTTGGAGTATACAAGGTCTTCTGTTCCGGGATCCCAAGCCGTTAACCGATAGTCAACACAATGGCAAGCCCACCCGTATAAGAAGTTTGTAGCGATTACTCGGAAACGTTCTTGGTGCTTGTTCCCGGCGGAGTGGAACAAGCGTATTCTTCTTAAAATTGCCTTAGGGCGCTACCCCTGTATGTCGGCCAGTGCGGGTCTTTCGACTGTGAACTAAATCAAACGTGCCACGAGTAAGCACAACACTTTGCCTGTAGACGAACCAGGACTTTTGGTCACTACCGCGAACGGTCCCTGCAACCGAAATCGGCTTGTCCAAACTTGATACGGTACTACCCCAATGAGGTTTCCCACAACACAAGAATGAAACTGCCTTCGTCGTACTCGTGTGATTTGTTCACAATCACGCCTAGGGTCACCCTCTTCCGTGCGAAATTAATCAAGGTACGCGACCTTATACACGTATAGTGAGAGGTTCAGTGTTTACGCACGTATTCTCTTCACCCAGGGGACCGAAGTCGTACCTATAGGGCTAATACCGAGAGCGTTACCCACACCGCCGACGCACCTCCCGAAGGCAGAGTGCGGATCGACTAGACCAGTACACTGTGATCCTCCCCGACGATCAGTGTTTCGTCTCTCGACGATTCTTGGTCGGACCCTCGCTCAAGTCAGATTTCCAATGGCACAAGCCTTTCACCAAGAGCGAGGGTATCGGCAGCTACGACGATCACCGGCGTGATCGAAGGGCAGTCTTCTTGGATTGATATGGTACGTTGGCGACTAGGGACTACACCCACAGCTCACACAACGATTGCCAAGACCAAGCTGCAACAGACACGAAGAAGATCCACCAAGTTGAAACGACAGCAGGTAGACGGAGACGAACGACCAAGATGATAACGACAGCAAGTAGACGGCGATAGAACAAAACAAACGACGGCGGCGATGAAAACGGCGGCGGAAACGACAGCAGAAACCAAAACGAGAACGACAGCGGAGACCAAAACGAGAACGACAGCAGAAACAAACACGAAAACGGCAGCAGAAACTGAGAACAAGCACTCACACAGCGGAACAATAACGTTGAACTGGGCCCGTAACCTACTGGAAGGTCAGCGGTGTTGAAATAGTGAGCGCGCCCAAGGGGACACCAAGAAGCCAGCGCCTGTGGCTTAGTGGTTAACGAATTTTTGCGGCAAATTTTTCAGACCTCGATTTTAACATCAGGTTATGGGCCCAGATTTACGCTACCATTCGTGAGTTCGATTCTCACCGGGTGCACTTGGGCGGCGCAATGTTTGTTGTTTGTTTGTGTCACACTTGGGAACGTACCTGCTTGTGTGTTGTGCAGTGACCCGCGCCGTGTGTTTGGCGTCCCTTGGTCGAGGGGGAGTGTTGAAATAGTGAGCGCGCCCAAGGGGACACCAAGAAGCCAGCGCCTGTGGCTTAGTGGTTAACGAATTTTTGCGGCAAATTTTTCAGACCTCGATTTTAACATCATTTTTTTTTAATTGCAAATCTAATGTATACAGTAGTCGTCGCCAATTATGCCACATCGCCCCCCACTTAACGGTGAACGTCCGCGTTCACATCAGCTTGTAGAGGGATTCATGCCAGGTTGCTGTGTCAATACGGTCCGTTCTGTTGCATCTAACCACGTTGCCCTCTCGTCGTTGTCCTCGGATACCACTACACTGACGTCTGCCCATCCCCCGAATCGTTCATGTTAACGTCCGCATCTTCTTTACTTGCAGAGTCACCACCATCCTTTTCCTCATCATCCTTCTTCGACTCATCAGCCTCATCCCTGTAGACGAAGGGCTCTAGTGGAGGCACTTCCTCACCTTCTTCTTCCTCCTCTTCATCATTGGGATCGTTTGCGTTGAGCAGGACAGCCGGCGTCTGTGGCGTCGAGACTGGCTGCGGAGCCGTATTCAATGTCTGCATTTCCACGATGTCTTCAGGTTCAGTTGGAGATCTATCCGACATCATGACAATCCCTGAGAACCGTCCACTGACAACAGGGTCATAGCGTCTTGTTATTTTGCCTTCGGCATCAGTCAGGTGCTGTGACATTCCACGACATGTACTTCTCTTGCTCGGGTAGAACTCGGCATGGATTTTCATGGACTGTGAATTTCGCCTTCTTCGGGCTGCCTTCCTTATGGTGCATGTAGACAAGCGCCATTCCGATGAGTGCTCCTTGACGAACAAAATCGCTTGGGTCGGCGGTCAAGCGCTCCAACATCTCAACAGCCGCTGGCATGCCAGTCCCCATGCAGGCAATACCAATGGCCAGAGCAGCGCCAAATCTTACATGCGCATGGCAACTCTCTGCTAGGAGTGCTACAATTCGCGGCAGGAGTTTCGGATGTCTGATGATGTGCGTCGAGCTGCAGTTATTGGTCTTGGGTTTGTACTATTCAAACGTCTTCCTCATCTCTGCCGCCCTGGGCCCATAACCTGATGTTAAAATCGAGGTCCGAAAAATTTGCCGCAAAAATTCGTTAACCACTAGGCCACAGGCGCTGGCTTCTTGGTGTCCCCTTGGGCGCGCTCACTATTTCAACACTCCCCCTGGATAGCATTTGATCCCGTTCCCTCTCTCTGCATGCACTCTGTTCTGTATTACTGGTCTCCGCTTCTCTTTCCTGTTCTCTCGGGCTTCCGCCGTCCTCGTGGACGATTTCGGGTCCTTTGCCAATTTAGCGGGTCCCCTTATTCCTCCACAAGTACTGTCAAAACCGTCGGCAAGACGGTCGTCCACGAGGAGGCGACGTGAACATGACGCGGGAATTCACACTCAATTAGTTAGTGGGAGACGTCTCCACGCTAAGTCAGAAGGAAACGCCGAGGGCGAAGACGCACAGGTTGCGCACGGACGCCGCCCCGCCTGGGCCATGAGTCGCAACGGGCTCCGGGTTCCCCGAGCCGTGACCGTCCCCTACTGATACGAGCCGGCGAGTGGCGTGCGACGAACATGGTGAAGCAGAGCCAAGTGAAACTTTCTCGCCGCCCCAGCGGAGGAACGTCGCCGCCGCCGCACGAGAAAACGCTGAATTCGGGATCGCAACCTTGCCATCTGAACCTAGCACCGGCAACGCGCTTACCTCCCCCCCCCGCCGCTCGTCTGCACGCCGTGGCAGCTCCAGGGGCGCCGCACGGCATGCACGCCTCACGACGAGGCGTCGCGCGGTATCTAGCGCGCGAGTGGGTGGCGCCTTCCAGAAGGCAGGGAGAGTTCGTTCTGTTATTGCGATGTTGTCCCAACCACGCCGTAAGAGCGCAGCTAGCGCGCCTCCCTCGACGGCTTAGTTCTACGATATAAAAGATCAGCAGCATGCGTCAGACCACATGCCATAATCTAACAGGGAAACGCCAGCGTCGCGTACGGAGGAACGACCGGCTCTACGGCGACTGTACTGCGGCCTCTCGGCGAGGTCCTCCGACGGCGCAGGCCCTCCCCGTAACGCCGGGTCGCGCGGATGACGCCTGCCTACGCAACAAGATGGAAAAAATCCCGGCGAGGTCGCGAGCATCCGTTTCCCGAGCACAAACTGGCCCTCCAGGTAGACGGACATATTTCGGACGCACGACAGGCGGGCAACTGCCGCTGTCGCCGACGGATGCGTCGCGTCACACCCGTATTATATGGGTCGTGCGAAGCAACGTCCCCTCCCGCACAGACAGTGTACCGACTGAGACCGATCGTTGGCATTCGCGCACAACCAGGGTAACCGGGAGTAGGGAATAGCCGGCATCCCAACGCACTTCTGCTGTGGCTCTCCCATCGTCCCCTGCACGGGCAGACAGTGATACGGAAATGCGGAAAGGGATGAAGTTGAACGTCTAAATAGGGGAGCGGCAAACAGAGACCACGGCAAGGGAGTGCCGTCGCGCCGGAGCATGAGCACGTCATCGAACGTCGACTGCGCGGCATCGGCCGCGATGCGAGCGTGGACAGGCAGCTCATTACTGCAAGAAACGGCCGGACCGACGGCGGAAAAGAGACGCGACTCGCCACTCTCTATTTACCGCGCATAGGTAAATGCAAGCGTAAAGCTCGAAGACGCAATAGACGAGTCAAGGCCAAAAGTACGGGAGCAAGTTGGGCACGATTTAGCGGACGTTCTTCTCCCTCCGGTAAGCATCAAAAGCGTACATCGAATTTATATAGTAATTACGGGGACGCACCGCGGTCCTTGAAACTGATAAGAGACGTGGGGGAGAAGTACAGGAGCGGGCGGCTGTTTGTCACATCAGGGCCTTCGCAAAGTCAGGGCATTCAACAAATGCCTGCTTGTCTACCTCTGCAACGGACTTCAAAGCATCCCTGAATCGTTCCCTGTCTCCCCGGGGTGTTTGCTGCCGTGGCAGTTGGAACTGCCGCGTGAGCTCGACAGAGGCCAAGGTCTATTGACGCCAAATCAATCGGCACTGCAATCGCTTTTTGAAAAGCACACAAACTGTCATATTACAAAAGACACCGTTTGGCAGCTGCATCACTTACCCCTGGGAAACTAGTGTGTATGTGTCGTTTTTACCACGCCGGCTGTGACGCCGCTGCAGACGTCGCGCGTATCGGTTCCAGAGTCACCCTGCTCACGCATAATGAGCTGGAACCCGGGCATTGGCGGCATCGACAAGGGCCACGTGCGACCCCGTGATGTCGCGTACAGCAGGTGACGCTGCCACCCAGTTTTGGACCCCCTTTCCGTCGCGAGGGATTGCCGATCGTGGCAGGAGGGCACAGGGCGGTCGCAAACGTTATGAAGAAGGGGTGCGCTATGTCCTTCATTCGTTGCAACACCGATCGCTGAATATTACGGAGTGCTCTACCGGGACGTTTTCAGAATGGAAAGATGTTTGTATCGAGCGCAAGTGAAACGCGGACGCGGAGTGCGGAGGAAGAATACGTGGACGAGGGGACTGGATTTGACCGTACTTGTGGAGGAATAAGGAGACCCGCTAAATTGGCAAAGGACCCGAAATCGTCCACGAGGACGGCGGAAGCCCGAGAGAACAGGAAAGAGAAGCGGAGACCAGTAATACAGAACAGAGTGCATGCAGAGAGAGGGAACGGGATCAAATGCTATCCAGGGGGAGTGTTGAAATAGTGAGCGCGCCCAAGGGGACACCAAGAAGCCAGCGCCTGTGGCCTAGTGGTTAACAAATTTTTGCGGCAAATTTTTCAGACCTCGATTTTAACATCAAGCGGGGCAAAGGGAAATCGAAGGACGGTTGATGAGGTGAAGTTGAAGGATTGGGTACCGATTTACTTTGAGTCGCCAACTTCTGGCACTACTTATACACTTCTGCAATCTTCTAGAACTCTACTACCAAGGACTACGACACACATACTACAAATGTATTGGCTCTAACACATGTGCCCGTCTTGCTACTCAGCCAAACTGGCGATGGCCCAACAAACAGAACAGAAAACCGCCTTACGAATTAGCACTGTCATGACGGAGAAATTAGTAAGGCAGTACAACAAAGCACAGCAAAGCACAAATTCCCTTACTATTCCAAATCCAGCGTGGCACAAATTCGTAAGGCACGTTTACAGCTCACACGTTGCATTACGAATTCAAATCAATCCTGCAAGGACTGTTTACAGCGCACGCGTTGCCTTATGAATCTGAATCTCTCGTGAGGTCCTGTCCACTGTCAATTACAACAGTGCACATTTTGCCTTACGAATTGAAAACTCGCGCAACGGTATCTTTGTGTCCTGCTGTACCCGTGCCCCACTCCATGGACGCTGTAAACCTTTGGCACGTGCCAGGCACCCGCCACCAAGGTTCTACACTTTGTCTGTAAGACTGCAGGCGTACTGTACGCGTCCGACAGTGTAATGAGGACATGTGTCCAGGTCATACACGTGTCGGGCGGAGAAAATGAAACATGCTCAGATTGTACAGTACACCGCAACCGTGTATATATTTCACACGTGTACACTTTGAAAACCAAACGTGCTCCTGAAGTACTGTAGAGTGCAACCGTGTACAGAAATCACACGTGTACACGTTGAAAATGAAACTTGCTCAGCTCGTCACGTGGAGTGTTTTCGATTTTACACGTGTCATACCTGTTGTCGTGTGTCATGCATATCAGCATGTGGTCCTAGAATTACAACACTCCCCCTCAATCACATGCTTTTACCAGAAGTAGCTACTGCAAGCCCTAGAAGTTCTACAAACTTCTGGAACAGAACTCGCCCAAGTGCTTTTGTCAGGATATCTGCAGGCATGGAAGTGGTCGGGCAATGTGACAAAGAAATGACGTTTCTCTTAATTGCATCTCGTACATAGTGGTATTTCACATCGACATGTTTGTTACGACGGTTGACCGATTCATTCTGTGCATACGAAATAGTCCCTGCATTGTCACACCCCATCACAATCGTGGGATCAGAATCAAGTCCGAGAACATCAGCAACCACTTGACGCAACCAAGTCGCCTCCTTACACGCTTCACATAGTGCAATGTACTCAGCTTCACACGTCGAAGTTGCAACCACAGTCTGTTTCCGGGAACTCCAACTGATCGCTCCACCGCAGAACTTGAAAACATATTCGCTGGTCGACTTGCGAGAGTCTGAACAACCGGCCCAGTCAGCATCACTGAAGCCGAACAACTCCGGCGATTTAGATTTATTGTCAAACACGATTCCTAAGTTTCGAGTCCCTTGCACGTATCGCATTACTCGTTTTACACCTGCCCAGTGTGAGTCACATGGGTTGGCAGAATGTTGAGAAAGCTTTCCAATCGCATATGCCAAGTCTGGACGAGTGCCAACCATCAAGTACATCAGGGATCCCACTGCCTCACGATACGGTACATTTGTTTCGGAGTCGTTTTCGGTTGAAATCGTGGTTGTGTGACCTTGTTCCATTGGAGTCAGAGAGGGGTTACACGTTGACATTCCAAAACGCTCAAGCACTTTTGATGCATACTTAGTTTGAGTGAGACTCAACGTCTTGGCGGTGCGATCCCTTTGAATTTCAAGACCAATGCAGACTTTTGCTTCACCAAGGTCTTTCATCTCAAACCGTTTATTAAGCTCCCCCTTCATCCATTTGATGGCATCGATATCACTACCGGCGAGTAAGAAGTCATCGACA